ACCACGTTAAAAAACATGGACCAGCTAGAAAAAGCAAAAACAGCGAAGAACGAATAAAAATACAATGAGTGAAGAAGCGAAAGTTCGCCACGCGGATGAAGCTATAGCTATCGTATAAGGCGAGCAAAAAATGTGAGGTAAGAGAAAGAAAGGTTCTGTAAAAATTTGGGAACCTGACAGCAATAACAGGGATGTTGACAGAGACTCTTCTGATGAGTCCGATATCGGCTTTTGTACAATATCCTAGCATTTTTTCGAGCATTTTAATGAGGCAAAAGTATTAAGCATTATTCGAGCATTTTAGTGGCATTTTCCCGGAGAATTAATATTTTTTTCCACAGAAAATAGAATAAAATTAATTTTTATGAGAAAATAAAGACTTAACTTAACCTATTCACTAAGTATCGCTAAAAGGGGACAAAGGATTAACAGAACAACAGCCTGTTGATCTGTTAATTATTTAGCGAATTGTCTTTTGGTGTATTAAAACTATTACATACGTTCTGTTTAACCTGTTATACTAAGTACACGGTTTTGTTAAGAACTCTGAACTGTTAATTGCGTTATAACGTTTAAATTATTAAAATTTAAAAACCCCTATGTATGAGCATTAACCGAGCATTTTAGTAACTTTTAGGGGGAGAAACCGAGCATTTTAGTGGAAAAAATAGAGCATTGAGGTGGAGCATTTTAGTGAGGAAACTGAAAGCATAATGTGCAAAAGTCTAGTCCGATACCGACGAATCGTCGGACTCATTGAGACTCATTGAGACCAATTAAACATTATCCATGCACAGTTAACCACGCACAGTTGCTCCGTCGCGCTTTCTTTTGTTTGTTTTCTTCGCCCAGCCGCTTTAATTTGTTTCTGGCGTTCGTATCCTTTTTTGCCTTCCCCATTTTGCCAGACCAGCTTCAAGAAAAATTATCCCTGATCGCCGCCTTCGGCGCCTTGAGCGCATTGCGAAACAAAAGGTTTTTTTTATGGAGATTCGAGCGTAAATTTCACCAGGAGGTTAACGGTAGTAAACTTTCCCCGCACTGATTGGCTCAGTCATCTGAGAACCCAGTTGAAGGCGTCTGTGGGCGGAGTTTGTTTGCGAAGCACTTTGAAGAGTTTTTGTAATATAGATCGGACCCTGCGCGCGCTCTGATTGGTCAAAAACCCATGTTTTATTAGAGTATAAAACAGAAAAAGTTATTTGTTTTGCGCGTAAAATCTATATCATAAAAAGTGTTTTCTACATTTCCCTCGCGTTCTCAAGTGCCCGTCGTGTTCTATCATAATGTAATACACAGCTTAGGCTTCTTTATTTGTTAAATAACTCAAAGGAAATTTGTTCAATTACCCTCAAATTTTGACAGTAGCTAGTTTAACATAGAAACTACACACAAGTGTCTGCGAATTGTTAATTTCGAAATATTTCTTCTTCGAGAGCGATTTTTGTACGATCACTCCACATATTTTTAATCCTATTGCGAAAATTTTCTGTAACTTTTAACTGCAATTGAATATGGCAAAACGCAGACACGTTTTTTGTTTTTAATTAACGCTTTGTGCCCTGTAACCGAGGAAAAATTAAATTGGCGAAAAACAAAATTCGCTTTGACTTGTAGCTTTCGAAAGGTGATTCCGGATCTTGCATTTAGTGGTCGTGAAGACTTCGACAATTCATTTTATTTCAAAACTCTTGGTATAGTTTGATAGCCAGCTCTATAAGCTTTAATTTGATATAGCGGTCTAGGTATCCACTACTTAGACTGCACGCGCTACGTCGCTTGCACGCGAGACACCCCTGAAGGTGTATGGCAACCTTTATAAGGTGGCTCGAAACAGTTTCCAGCACTTTCCAAGAGTTGCCTAAGTTATGTACATAACAGCCAGGATCTCACGGTTCGTATCTTTAACACTTTTCCCCCCAGTTCAAACACACGTTTCATATATTCTTCTCTTTCATATCTTCACCATCTACTTATACATTACATTTATTCAAAACATGACCAGCTCCCAGTTGGCTTGATAGCTCAGTTAGTAGAGCACTGCATGGTGTCTCAGAGATCCTAAGTTCGAATCTCGCTCAGTTAAGCCTGAATTTTCTTCAGGCTTCATTTTCGCAAGTGTTGGTGAAAACAACACTTGCGATGTAGTGTTTTTCACTCGTTCATGTGGGCTAATAATTGCCTTGAAAATCGAATGGTTCAAACCCTGGAACATCGTTCCTACACCAAGATAGACAAGCAAAGTCATCAGACGCAAGTAATTTACAAAAACTCATCATTGCTTCCGTTGCAAAACAGCCTGCAGTTTGCCTCGTTGTTGTAAATAATTACTCCACGGTGCCTTTTTTATTGAGAAATATAAAGAATCAGCTACGTTGAGCTTAATGCTTTGAACTGATAACCCAGAGGTCCTTTTAAACTTCCTAACAGGCAAAAAGCGGAATCTCTAACAGTGGTTTGTTTTATTTTCATCAGATTTATTGCGACATGTCAGCAAACGCTGGTGGATGGACTCTCACTGCTCGGTTTTCAAACGCTGACACAAAAAACTGGATGAGAGATGATGCTTACTGGTGGTATGACATCCAGACTTCACAGGGGTCCCCTACAAACACGTCAAGTAACTATGACATGATATCTGAAGCATTTTGGAGAGTTAAAGGAAGTGAGATTAAAATCACACGCAGCGATGATAGCTCAAACACTGCTCTCCTTCGTACGTATACTAACTGCCTAAGTGGAAACACTCTCAGGGCATTCTTGTCCAGTTATGGCAAGTTCAGTTATCGTAACACTTGGTCTAACGATAAATGCCTTGGAAGTTGTCCGGTGTATTATGGAGGCTCGTATAGCTCTACAGCTGGCTTCAAAGAAGCACACTGTAGCGGCGATATTCAGAGCAGCAGCCGCATTGGTTTCTGGTGTCAATGGAGCACCGGTGATGGTTCGGTGATGATGATTGGAGGAGGAGGAAGCGGATGTAGCCGAGCAGATCATGGTATCGGTATCACCGAGAATGACTATGGAGGGTTTGAAGGATGGACTGATTCAGGAGAAAGTGATTTTGGAAATTACGCCCCTGATTCCACTTCTTCTTACTCCTTGAATTTGTGGATTTGTTAAAAATAGGAACACAGCGAAGTGTTTCTCTCTCTAAATAGATCCCATGTGTCAGACATTTATACAATCAATAAGCCAAGCAATGTTCTAAAAGTGATTTCACAGTTTTTGATTGCCTATTAAATGACGTCAGTTTTTTTTTTTCTCAAAAGTTTGCAGTTGCAATTTTTCAGCGGCCCACGGATTTTTACATCGGATCGAATTTTCCGTCTAGACCATTTTCATCTGGTTATCAGTACTGAAGCATAAGAGAGAACTTTACTACGAGAATTTATAAGTTAGGCCTGAAGTAATTGGTTAAATTAGGCCATTTTTGTATTTTCGGTATCGGACTACCTTGCAAGGGAGGCTCATGCGGGGGAATATCACTAAAAAGAGATGAATGTTATCTGCGTTTGAAAAGATTCGCCGCATTAGCCTCATTTGCAAGCTAGTTCCAGTCCAATACCGAGAATACGAAAATGGCCTATTCACGCGGCAATTGCGAGTCTCAAACTCTTTATCAGCTTCTCATGACTCTGTTCCTGACTAAATATAGACACAAAGCTGTATCGTTGTGCATTTTTTTTGTTTTTGTTGATGAAAATTACATGTAGTTTAAGCTAGAAACAGATTTACCGTAACTTTACATCAGTGTTCTAAATGCGTTGTAAACCAATTGCATTTTCTCAGCTTTCAATCATTTGAATTAGTTATGGTATTCTTGGCAGTTCGACGCGTGAACCTCTATATTATTTCAATCTGGTTTGGGCTTCAACGGGTGTCGAAATTAGTCGCTGTAAAAACATCGTTCATATCTTGTTTGCTTTCAATTTCTGGATATGTAGCGACTGCTGTGCTTTTGCGTTTTTACGCGGGACCAATTCGCATGCTTGGTGATACTACTACTACTAAGAATTTATTACGTATTTATCACAACCGCATTTATCGCATAAACGAGACAAATTTCAAGTGCGGAGCTAGTTAAGTTTGTTAATTTGCAGAGTGTTTGCTAGCCTTCAGCTCTGTATAGAGTTGGGGAACATGTACAAGTTGATGGCGAATCCTGGTCTTCCTCGCAGACCAGACCGGACTGAAACCGGGATTTTCGTCTCAAGTTTGTCAAGCAACTGATGGTACTATTTTTAAGCGCGCAAGCCAAAGGCACTTGCTGCCCTGACTGTACGTGGAGGTAAAAAAGAAGAGGGATTTACCGTATTTAAAAATGCTGTTTATTCTAATTGTTATATAGCGCGTTAGTCAGAATTATACTCGTTGTATTTCATTTCTATATCTAATGCTCGTGCCCTTGCTCCAAACTATATTATACTCATTGATTTTTTAATTTTTAATTGAGTGTATAAAATAATGGATGCCAAGGCCTGCCAGGCACAATTTAGGTACTTTTAAGTATTAAAATACCAGATATTTTCGTTCAGTTTTGAGCAAACGCAGAGGCTAGGCTTCAGTAACTGACCACTGTAACAGTCTTTGACCTAATTGATAGAAAACTGGATGATTCCTGCGACATTACATCGTCAAGCAGTTTTTCTTCACTTTTGACGGTTGAACATTTTTTGTGGACACAACTGTATCTGACACAGTCTGCAGTATTTAGTGTTTTCCTATAACTTGTCAGTAAATCGAGTAATATTTAACAATTAGACCCGTGGCCCTTGAGGGCGAAGGGTCTAATTGTTTTAGTATCACCCAACTAGT